CAGTATTTTAAATATTTGATTAACATTTTTAAAAGTCACTTTTAGTGAACTACGAATGAATAAATTTATGCGATAATTATAAGTTTTGCAAAATACTTCGAATTAAGTAGAACATACTTATTAAATCGTTCGCAAATACCTCAAGAGATGGCGGTACTAGTCGTTTCGAAGCGAGATTGCAAGGACAACATCCAGTCACTTTTATATAATCTACCTAGGATCTTTCAAAAACATTGTGAAACAGAAAATAGTAATTGAAGAGTATTTAATTTGCAAAAATATATTTCATAGGAATATTTACAAATCTCTAAAATTGTACATTTTTACTCACATTATCAGTTAAATTAAAAGGAAATAATATTGTCTATCTTTATATTGTTAAATATCGCATTGATATAATATACATCCTAGATATACATCCAAAGGTTTGTCCTATATTTAAAAAGCAAAACGGTGTATTTTAAACAACATGAAAAAGGACAATTCCCAGTTATAGCGCTGCAATCTAAGTTAGATCATTTCGTGCCACGACTAGGTGTTGCCAGCCATTACCAAATAAACAGGCAAACACGGGGAAACTTTTAATGAATTGGCAAGATTACATTGTTGGGATCAACTCGGACGCGGGTCACTGTCTCTTTGATGCGACGAAGACATCGCTAAAAATAAATTGAACAATCCAATTCATGCATTTTTTTGGGTTTTCAAACAAAATAGAAAAAAACTCAGCAAAAGTAAAGATATCTAACTAAACTGATGTCGATCATCTGAAACATGGGTCGAAGATTCAGAAGTTATGTTAGTAAGTAAGGTAATATAATATCGCATTTTAAACCGTTAATTGTTTTAAGTGAGCTCGTGTAAACACAGTAGCTATTTTCGTAGAATATAGTATAGTATATTATAAGAAACACTAGCTGTGTCAGCGACTTCGTCTGCGTAGATTAGTTACTTTGTGCATGAAATTTCGTTTTCGCAAACCTCCTGTTCAACTATAATTTTAAGCTGTTATCCACGACCTCATCCGCGTCCCGTCGTTCTTGCAAGTTAATCTTAAAAGATAGACATATACTGTCCTGGGCAGATTTTTAGATCATTTAAAGAGAAATCATTCTGTCGTTCTATTTTTTTTGTTGTTGTCTTCTGGGATTCAAAGAGCGCGTTCAACTAGCAAAGAAACAGCTTCAGCTTTATATATTAACTATAGATTTAGAAATGATAAATATAAACGTATTATATAGGCTACTAGCTGTGCCGTTCGCGTGGAATAGTGACTTGGGGTAGAATTTTTAATTATTTAGGCTGTTTATTAATGTATGTAATTGCGCATTTATCGCAGCCAATCTATGTTGTAAGTGCTACTTTGTCGCAACACTCTCACCTCACATCACTCCTACTCTAACTCTCACTCCCACTCCTATTCCCAAAAAGCCAAAGAAGAAAGTTTCATTGTTCTAGCTTCAAAAACCACGAATTTCCATACAAACATTCACACCCCCCCCCCCTTATCCCCTTTTTCGCAATAAATAGAAGCCTATGTTCTTTCTCAGGGTCTAGACCATCTGTATACCAAATTTCATTAAAATCCGTTCTGTAGTTTTGGCGTGAAAGAGTAACAGACAGACAGAGTTACTTCGCATTTATAATATTAGTAAGACATCACTCATCATACACTTGTAGTAGAACATTTTTCTTACCCTGGACTAACTAAGGATTGATTAAAACATTACTTTCTTTTGTTTGTCTTTTCATCAATAATTTCCGTTTACGTTTCACGCTTGACCAGTACCATTTTTAATTTGATGTGGATAGCGGTTCAAGCCCCGTGTTGTGATTTTTTTTTAATCTAAAAAAGATTTAGATTTTTTATAATTTCTTAATTCCAGTGATATACTAATATACGACATGAGTCAAAACCCCACTAACACACAGATTAGATAGAAGAACCGATCAATGGTCTGATAAATCTATACTAATATAATACAGCTGAAGAGTTTGTTTGTTTGAATCTCGCGCTAATCTCAAGAACTGCTGGTTCGAATTAAACAATTATTTTTATGTTTAACCATATATCGAGGAAGGCTTAATATCTACTATTTTTGGTTAGGCTGTCAGGCTGCAACAAATAGAAGCGAAGAAACAGAAGGAAATGTGGTAAAAACGGGGAAAAAATATTATCTTTGCTGGCTTTCGTTGCGTGTACTTTGTAAACGATACAAGAACGATTCGAAAAGATCTTTTAACATTTTTACGAGTAATGAAAGCTTAGGAGGTTGTTGCAACAATAAATAAATTAAATCCTAAAATAACAATTCCACGCGGACGAAGTCGCGAACACAGCTAGTAATTATAATTTTTATTATTTCAGTAGTCATTCTACTTTTTTTATAGATGCTTCCTCAAAGGAGATATTGCTTTTGAGTTTATAAGAAATTGTCATATCATTCATACTATCGATACAATATTTAATATTTTCCTGATAAAATTTCTTCAGCGCTGAGATGTTCTCGGAATACTTTAAAATTGACAATTCATTGACGATATCAGCGAATGATTGACTGATTGATGGCTTATCAGCTTTATCGGAGAAATTGGGACGATTTGAAAGGTAAATATTTATCAAGGTAAATCAGAAACATTGATGTTATTTGTACTAATACGTCATGGCGAAGACAGTCTTTTGTAATTAACATATATGTAATTAAATGCATAAAATGTATTTTTTATTTTATTTTATTTAACATCTTTTACATAAGAATTTTATTTTACAACATTCACCGGTAAAGAAACCGTCTGTCGGTCTATGTTAAGTATTGGTAGCTACATAATGTGGCAGAAATTGAAAAATGTATATATGTATAAGTCTCCCCGTGACCACGGCTGCTGCACAGCATCCGAAACGTCGGGCCGAAGTTAAAAATCATTTTCAAATAAGTTCAACTAATATATCGCGTTTTAAACCGTTAAAGTGTTTTATTTAAATGTTTACTACTCGCGTAAACCATAGACAGTGTTTAATATATATAGGTATTTATCTATGATAATAGAGGATAGACAAGCACGGCGTTGACTTTATGGTGGGTGAAATGACCAAGCCACTAAATATCTAAACAAGATGTGCTGTTGTCCTATTTTGGTTAGATCGAAATTAAAAGGCGATTAAACTTCCACCTATGGATGGTGATTTATGACCTAGGCGGTACTTTCAACACCTATTTCTATCACTTATTAAATATCTCGTTTACCAGACGAAGAAGAAGAAGAAGAATAATTCGATGAGAAATATGTTGGATCCGGTGCGGACCCGTTGATTAATAGATGTATGGCTATTATGAGACCAACAAGGAGGAAATGGGGAAATGGGTGAAATGGTCGGCGGACAACGTGGACTGATCACCCGTCCTGCCAAGGGTGTCCCCGATAGAAAATAATAATAATTATGAGACCAACAATTTAATTAAATAAATAATTATAATTTTCATTTACTTTTAAAGCCTAATGGTTTTTTGGACTTTCCTAAAACCGAATGGCTACTGCAATACACTCAAGGTAAAGAATACATTCATATTATTAAATAAACCCTCAAGGTGAAATCTATTTTGAATTTAATTTTCCTTAACAGGAGTGTCGTCAGACGTGACGATAATATTCTATGAAGCTTTTAATTTAAAATACAAAGATCCAGGTGTACCACACATAGTTGAATGAGTAATATTTCAGCAGCGTTTATTATAATGACCACCGCGGAGAGATTTAATCGAGCACCCCAATACACGTCCGCCCGCGATGACAGATAGGAGCGAAATGCTTTTAGCGGCCATACCGTGCGTGTGCGCATCTAAATATAATGAGCAGGTGAGCGTTTATCGCCGCCGTGTCAACTTAGTGTCCTTATTGTGAGGTAAATTAGTGGACATTTTGTTTTCAGACGCTGTTACTTGTTACCGGTGATAGGTAATTTATTGAATTTAAATACATTTATTGAAGTCGTGAGACGCTTAGACGTTGCCAATATATTATCTGTGTCTCGAGAGTTTTCAATTAAATTTTCATAGACACAACTCGATTAGTGTCCGAACCATCCACAGCGTTCTGTGTTGTTTCTAACCTTTGGATTTGGCGTTTAATTTATGTTAAATACCATGTTGTGCATAATATTGAAGTTTTCAACATTTTAAGGGATTAACTTTATTCTAACTACAGAGAGAGAGTTCTTAAACAACTTTTAAAAACCTATAAATAGCACATTTGTAGTTTTTAGTAAGATCAAAATAATCTTAAGTTTGTACTATTTAATGTGTTAACGAATTTTGTTGTGTTAGGATTGTAATAATTGTAATTTACAATTTATTTTTATTTTGTTTCCTTTTCTTCATACAAAGGTTGCCTGGAAAAAATCGCCATAGGCGATAAGGCCGCCTATGCACTAACTCTTTTATGTAAATAATTAATTTAGTATTTCTATATTTGTATTTTATTAATTTGTGCAATAAAGTGTTTTATTAATATTATTTAGTTAATTAATAGTAATAATAATAATATAATACGTTGACTAGTATAGGAATATCTCAATTCGTTGTAAATAAGACCTACGGAGCAGATCCACTGCACAAAAGTGTCTAAATGCCATAACTATGCATATATACATATTTCACACTGGGAGTCAAACCCAGAACTAATGGCAAATAAGGAAATGAAATTCAACTCGTTTGCGCGTTAAGCCATAGAGGTGGTTTTATTAAAACATATAGTAATAACATTAGGAAATGAAACATAAGTAGATTCAAGATGAAGTTTGGTACGATTTTTACTTTTCATATTTCTCCGAGATCCAAACCCAGAACCAGTCAGGCAGAGGCCGTCCGTAATTACCCAAGTGCGCTCTATCCGCCATCAAAGATAAAATTCCCAAGACACAGAAGATGTGTAGCATTGATCAGTAGTCCTTAGTATTAGCGTATGTGAACAAAGCGAACAGAAAGAAAAACGGACAGCAAAAAATGTCTGCCGCTGCGCTATCTACAGTCCGCGATCCTGTCTCAAATAATGGCACAGTGGTTGCTGAGGAGTCGCCAGGTTTTTGTTTTGTTTAAATTTAAAATCTGTAAAATTCAAAATCTTGTTTCCTAACAGATAAAGCTTGGCTGTAGATGAGTTTTTGTGTCACATTCTGACACCTCGCAATATACAACAAAATAGTTCTGCAAACACAATTCATCTGTCATTAATACTACAAGCTGAAGAGATGGCTAGGGGGGGGGTTTGTAATAAAAATCTGGACAAATCGAAGAAAATATGCCATCTTTACCAAAGACATGTAAAAAATGATTCCTCTTTAAATTATCTAAATAAATGGAGCGACAGCACCTTCCTTTTTAAGATTAACTCGCAAGAATGGTTTCTATGGAAACCAAATAATGCCAAAATACATTACCAACTTTTGTCACAGTTCTATCAAGATTATAATTGATGCCCAAAATAACGATTCCACGCGGACCAAGTCTCGGGGCACAACGAGTAAATAAATGTCTACTTACGCTATCATACAAGAAAGCATATTTGACATATTCTTATATACATAATCTAGAATAATCTTACACATAAACACACACACCCAAATACTCGCACACACAACTTACAATCATAATGTAAGAACTAACAAACTTCCATAATTTAAGGTTAGTACCTACTTAGTAGTCTTACGTGTAGGTACTAATAATTTGAAGCGTTGTTATAGTTTTTTGTTTAAAGGTATAATCATATTTACGTTTCTTATTTAGATAAATAAGTGAAAAAAGATGGAGTTGTAAAGCTTTTGTTTCTAAATAAACGTAATTCTTTTTAAAAAAAAAAAAAAAAAAAAAAAAAAAAAGGAAAAAAAAAAAAAAAAAAAAAAAAAAAAAAATTTAAACCGCCCCCCCCTTTGGGGGTCTTGCAACAGGGGGGCGGGGGAAATCCCCAAGGAGTAAAACTTTGTTTTCAGTAAAGAAATGTTTTTAGATTGACTTAGACAAATTATATAATTTATTTCAATACTGTTTGTAGTTTATGTGAGCAGTACACATTTAAATAAAACACTTTAACGGTTCAATTGAAACCACGGCTGTCAAATAATTTTCAAACAAGTTTAACTAACATATATCGCGTTTTAAACCGTTAAAATGTTTTATTTAATAAAATTTGTGTATAACTTTTAAATTACTATTATTTTATTTTATTGTATGTGTCATACAGACAGCACTCGAAGAATCAGCAGCGTCTCATGCAGCTCTACCAAGCTTTTGAGCTGTTTTGCAATTTCATTTTTTTGATAATTGACATAAGCTATTTATTAAAGCGAGTTCTCTGTGATCTGATCTGATGTGAAAATATCTTTTCTTTTATGGAATTATTTCCTTGGCTGTACCTTTAACTGTCCGTGTTAATTAGCATAACTAATATAGTTGCAATAGTCGTTCTACTCCCACCAATCCATGGTGATAAGCGTGCGTCAACTTAAGAAAGAATAACCTATTCCCAGCTGTGGACAGTGGGATATCACAATTTAAGGTATTAACTAAAATACATATATTTTTTTAAGTACACAGTTTTTACCTAAATCTGAAACCTCACGCTAAGAAATTAGTTGATTTCCATTCAGTATAAAAATATAAAACAAATAAAAAAAAACATAAATGACACCTCTACAAGGCACGAATTAAAACTCAATCAGATGAAAATAAATGATGTCTCTTGACTTTTAACTTATGGCGTAAAATAGCGGGGAGCCATTTTATGGCTGATTAAATGAGTAGAAACAAAACACGATGATATTTTGTCGGTCGATACAGAATAACTGCGGTTTCATTATTATTATCACTGTCTGTGGGATAGTGTGTGGCTTGAAGTACGAGCGGTTAGCGATTTATTCCTATACAACATTTGTTAGTACCTACCTGCTTTACAAACATACTATACATTATTGAAAATTAGACAAGCGTGTCCATTAATTGATTTTAACAATAGAGAACAGTCAATATACAGAGAAATGTAATTGTAATTTTTTTTTTGTTATTAAATCGATGTATTTTTTTCTCATGCTTTAATTAAGTAATTTAGGTTTTTCAAAACTACTTAAACCGTATATACTTGTATGTGTACAGTATTGAGTATTTTATAGTTCGAAAGAATAGATATAGTTAATCAAATACGCACTTCTTACAACTCGGCCCACACACGTGCCAACAGCCAACAAAGATGGCGGAATTTACATAAAAACTCTTTAATCGTAACTCGGTGCTATCGCGATCCGATCATATTACCATAAATTAATCCAATAAGGGAGCGATCAATGTGTCCATAATGCGCCCGCGCACCTCACCAATCTAATCTCGAGACATCAGACCTAATACGTGTACTTCTTTTCTATACATTGCCGTTTGCCTTTACTTTGGACAATTTTGGAAGATTACTAATTTTAGGCATATATTTTTTTAGTCTAAAATTGATTTTAATTTATTTAAAAGTGATATTATAGTAACTCTCTAACTTAATGTAGGATTATAACAAAAAAAATCGGAACGTATGACTGAATTCTTGTTCATAATCTTAACTTATATTTAATATACATCAAGACCTTGACATTACCTCGTGTGAAGGAACTGCAGTCAACTGCTCATTCATAAAGATCGCCTACACATCGTAAATATGGCGGCTTTTACGCTGCAACCACTATTTTAAACAATTTTATTAAGCGAAAAGTTAAGCATTCTTTATAGTATTTTTAAGTGATATTGAAAGGAAAAAACAGTAAAAAACAAAAATCTATTAAAAAGGGGAGAAAAATAAAATCGATTTATTGACACGGTAGCTCAATGAATGCAACACCACGGAACACTGTGAATGCCGGTTCAAGACCTTCGGTCATTTTTTTTCAATTTATATTTTAATTTTTATAACGCGATTATATGCAAAAACACAACACCTAGGTTTTAAGCAGCTTAGTGGATCTAGCCAAACCTACTTACCTATATGAAAACGTGCCCATGTGCCCAAAAGTGGGACAAAAGACAAAATGGAGTTACAATACATCATTTCCTTCGAAGCCTTCTAGTTTTGCATTGCATACAGCAATATTGAGATCCGTTCCACGCAGTGTCAATAGAGATAAGTCCACAAGTCGGACGGGTCAGTGTGTTCTATAGAAATGACAGGCCCACGATAAACTAACACGGGTCGCTAGTTAAGAGGAAGTGTAACAACTAATAACTTGACTGTAAATAGTCTGCACTACCTGTATGTCATACTCGTTTGACAGGTTATTTCAATAAAACACTAACGGTTTGAAACGCGAATTATATTCATTTATTCACTAAAGGAAAACTTACAGCTAGTATAGGATAAGGATAGTCGCCAAATAGATCGGAAGCCAACCAAAAGATTTCGCTTTTAAATTCAGAGATATAAAAATATTAATATTAGTACTTATTTACAATTAAGTTATTAAGAGGGAGAGTATACAACATAGGCATCCTAGGCATGTTAAATATAAACGTGCCTGACTGTTACAGGTACAAAAGACACGCGCCTCCTCTTCTAGTGGTACCTTTTGCTAGAACGAATTTAATGGCAAAAGCGCAATGGACGAGGATTGTCGAGGTCCTAAATGACATGAAAAAACAGATATTTTTTACAGTCCTTAGGATGACCTCACAAATACAATAATGTTTATTTTGAGTTACGAAAGATAGTATGGTATATAGTAACTAAACAATATTATATATATTATTATTTAGTTTTTTAAGATATCTGTCGCATTGGATTCCATCTGTTATGACAGTGCATATATGTAAATATTAAATAAATAAATAAGAATAATAAATATATTTTAACAGTCTACATTACCTGTACCTATGTCAGACTCGTATAACGGGTTACTTATTGAAATAAACTTTTACACATTTAACGGTTTATAACTAAACTTATATTAATTAACTTATTAAAAAAAAGTAACTACGGTCCGATGTTTTGGACGTTCTTATATTCAAATTAAGTGGACGGAAAAATAAATTCTATATGTCTTTAGATATATAAATTACAAACTGTGTCAGCGACTTCGTCCACGTAGAATAGTTATTTTGGGTATCCAAATTAGTTTTTGCAAACTTCTACATCTTTATAAATTTAAGCCGCTCTGTAAGCTGTACGACATCGGTTGCGTCCCCTTCGTTTTTGCAAGTTAATCTTAAAAGATAGTCATATAGTGTCGCGGACATCATTGAAAGAGGAATCATTCTTCCAGAAATATTTTAACTGATTTTCGCAGCGTACGTATTTAAAAAACCCACAGACATGAACCATTTCTCCCGATTTGTTCACATTTCCCGTTGTATCTTAGTTTGTATTAGTCACAGTGCGATGTTTTATAGCCTATAGCCTTTCTCGATAAATGCTTCTAACCAACACCAATAATTTCAATTCAACGAAACAACCAAAACAAAAAATATTTATTTATATATTAGTAAAGATTTGTTTTTGTGAATAAAAATAACTAAGTCATTAAAGTGTTGCTGTAACAATAATTATTTGTATTATAGTTTATTGTGACAAGCTAATCTTGACAGTCTTAGACAAGTACTAAGCTGTGGTGGATTGGTAAAATAGCTTGATCCGCAAACGTAACACTTATTCTGTATTTCGCAAAAATAAAGGCAGTTTTCACCGTAATTACGCAATCATAAAATCTAGATAACCTAATTTAGATTCGAGCTCTTGCGCGTATAATTTGGCGCCATAAAAGAACCCGATGACAGACGTATTGAGCCCGCGAAATTACACACTTTATGACCACAGATTACTGACGAACGCATAATCTGTGGTGCGTTGCTTATTCACAGAGGCGGAGAGAAAATAAACTCTATTGTTTATTGTCATATGGGCTTACGATATGCATTTAGCGGTTATTTTGCATGACAGCTGACCTGGGTTAAATCACGTTTGATTGACGGATATCCTGTCAGACGTCATAATTATTGTATGAGATCTGTGGCTTCGTGGTTTTTGTTCCGAGACACAAAAAATAATAATGCAATTAATGTAATACAAAAAGTATTATTTAATTTATTTTATGAAACACTTATAAGTGATAAAAGCTTAAATATAGTAATATATTAGGTAATTTATTCGCTGGTAGGTACCACACCCTCTTCCCCGAAATTTAATGTGTGGCCACTAAAATACTTATAGCTTTTTTCTTGTAAATAAAATGAGACGCAATCACTGTTATTTTATTGGTAGACTAATTGCCTAATTAATAACTACGTAGGTAATATTTATTACATTTAAATTTGAATAAGACTTGATCTTAAATATTATTTTTATACTTATTTGCGTAATGTAGGAGAAAACGGCCTACCATAGAGACTTAAAGGTTTTGAGGTCAATGACCTTGTGAAGTTTCTAACTGAGATTGAAGGTTAGGTAAATGTAGCCCATATAAACTGATATCTTAATTAATATAGCACCATAAGTCTTCTATTTTAGCTGATGTTCATGATGATTAGGTATATATAATTGTTAGAAATATGGTCGTAGGTTTACAATGCCACAATAAATGATTTATATAAAAGCCCTTTAAAATGTCAACGATCAAACAAACAAACGAATATCTATCAGAAATTCAATTACTAAATTGTAAAACTAAAATTATGTAAAGTTATCAAAATTTTGTGTTATTCAATACATCGAATTATTTTATTCAACGCCCTGTTAAATGTGTGTTACTATAAACTGTTAATAAAATGAAAAATCAAAGCAAATTTATAATTAGTGAATAATTATTCCCGATAAGCGGCGGAATAATCGCAAAATCGCAAACAGAACCTAGGCACCGCGGTAATCACCGCGCGAGTGAGTTACGCGGGAAAAAACGGCGGGGGGCGGCGCGGTGGGCGGCGGGCGTTGCTCTAGCCCCGCCCACGTACGAGCGAGACGGCGGCACATGCACGCCGCTGCAAGGTCACTCGCGTGAACCTTCTGACTTCCAACTTGTCAATGACACGATTGAATCGTCATGCTGCTTTTGACTTTGTCTCACTTTTATCACCTTCTTCTGCTTTACAGCATTTTTCGATACTGCTACTATGTGTATGTATGTTTCTGTAATATTACGTAAGAAGTGCGTAATACGTGTATAATTTTTTCAAAATTTCAGGACGAATAAGTAAAAAAAACGAATTATACAATAGTTAAAAATTCTTAATTTTTAAAATTCTAAACGTTCCATGAATCAAGTAATAAATCGCTACGCAGCGCTACACAAAAAAGGTGCAGCGCTATGCAAAAAGAGTGCATCTTATCACGTCGGGACGTGTGATTGAGTGCACTAGTTCCCGCTACGTCCGCAGCGCTGCAAGCGCTTGAGACGCGGGGTCGCCGCGCGTCACTCCCGCCGCGGCGCGCGAACCGAACGCTGTGTACCGTCGCGCTCCGTCAGTTTTCCATCCGCGTAAACATTTCCACGTGTTCTTGTGAAGTGCTCAGGATATCCAGTGCTTAGTGTTGTGTTAAACACCTGTTCAAACACCCGGTGACGGATCGGAACGTCTGACGTATGTCAAAAACAAATAGTTGGAAAATAAAGGCGCAGTTTACTTAGGTGCAGAATTGATATTGGTTCAGTGGAAGAATTTTTTTGAGGTGAGCTATTGGTTTTACGCGTCGGTGATTACTTTGTCTGCACTAATTATTACCCCAGTAATTTCTGCTGTTAAACATCTAAACACTTTTTTGAAGGTTCCACAGAGTGCAATAAGAAAACTCGCTGTTGCAAATTAAATCGCACCTGTGTAACCTAATATCTGAAGTTCAAAATGTGTTTTATTAATCGTTTGTAAAAAAACTAAGTTCTTAAACTTACTTATAACGCACCCATAAGATCGCCTAAAGTATATTAGGCGATCAAGACAATTATAAAAGTTACTGTATGTACGAATTGTGACAATAAAAATGTACAAATATTAACTAGTATTTGGTTAGTAGGTGAAGATTTCGCACTAAAGTTCGTCTAAAGCTGCAATTAAGCTGACTTGCGTGAGGTTTAAAAAATTTTAATGGATTAAAAATTTAATGAAATGAACATTAAAATAAGCGTTAAAAAAAGTACAAAAATATTCTTAGGATTTAATAATTAAATAACTTGGCTTGTTGTGAGAGCACTTTTAAAACCATTAAATAATAGTTAAATTGTTTAAACTAACTCCGTAGCTAGTGCATATTTCACTTGTCCGCCATCTTTAGTTGTAGTGCGTTGCGGGGGGTGTGGCGCGGCCGGCGGTCGGGGGAGCGGGAATTAGAGCGAGATAGAGCACAAACACAGCCCCCCTTCAAACTTTCATATCGCACCCTTTTCTATAATTCGCAATTAATTAAAACTGTTAAATTTCTTTATATATTGTAATGATTAGAAATAATAACTTTTTATAATTGCACTACAGTAATAATTATTTTATGTATATTAATACCTATATAAAATAGGATGGTAGCTATTTTATATCGGTAATTTAATTATTGTTAGCGTAAAAAAATAAGTTAGAAATAGTAATAATCATTTTTAATTTAGGATGAAAAACCTGAAAATATGAAATTAGATAAAAGTAACTACTTACTAGGAAATATTTCGAAAACTTGTCCTTCGTCATTTCATAATAATTATACTGTTTAAAAAGATATTATTTTTCATTTTAATAACTTATACAATTATTAGGTGGCTTTTGAAAGGCACAACGTGTTAACTATTACTACTTACTTAATAGGTATTATATAGGTAACTATAGTGTTTTTAAACGAATCCACACACGAACATAAAGTAACCTTACTTAAACTAAAGAAAAGATAGTAAAGTTTAATACCGTTCTGAATTAACACTAGTATGTTTACCTGTCATTCAAGATATAAAAAGGCAGTCACAATATTTTAAAAGTCACATCATACCTATTTTGAAATTATAAATCTCGTAGACAACAAATTTGCGTAAAATTATCACTTTCACGCAAATTAACTATAATGTGAAAAATTAAAATTAATTTCAATTAAACAACAAGCGAAAAGCCACTTTACGCAATCTATTTTTGGCCTAATGTGTTTATTATTTAAATTGGGCTAGCAAAAAATGCATAGTAATAATATGAAAAAATATTTAATTTACAAATGACAAAAAATTACTCCTAACTTTTACTTCAAACTTTATTATCTTAATAAATGCCACCATACATATTAATTAGTGATAATCTTTTGGTAGATAATATGTATAAGTACATTGCGGGAGATTTTTTTTTCCATTACAATAGTAGGTGGATAATTATGTTGGAATTAAAAGGATTTAATTAAAACAGCTTTGCTACTAATAAAATGTATTTTCCTAGAAAGACTAAATAATTTCAAAAAAACATCTTCACCCAAATACCGGACACTGATACTTATATATTATCTTAGTACCTATGTATTATTGTATATTTCTGGTGATTACAACGCCATTATATTTTGTAGCGCCACATCAATACAACATTTTTCTTGATATTTGTGAAACATCGTTTTTATGACTCGTTCTTTATATCCAGTGAACCGTCATACTTTATAATTAAATTCAATTTTTTATTTAACGCAAATTAAACAAGATGGCGTCGTGCGCCTGCGCACTCAATGTCAATGCTGCTGTTAATCACCGCCATATTTATTTTTGTTTGAATTGTAAATTTATTACTTGTATTAAAATATTAACTGCCACCAGAGGATATATATTTTTTGTGTTTTGACTTAGCTCCGTTAATACGATCATGAAATTACCTAGTAATATAATTTAATCACAATTAAATGTTATAACGTTATCGATAAAACGTATTATGTAATTTTTAATTCAGTTAGTACAGGTGCAAAAATTATTGAAAAACATTTTATATCCATCGAAGAATAATTAACAGTTTAGGTTTACATTTTTACAATATAAAATGTATTTAAATAAAACACTTTAACGGCTTGAAACGCGATATATTATTAGACTTTTTTGAAAATGATTTCTCCCCATGACCAAGGCTGATGCAAAGCATCCTAAACGTCAGGCCGAAGTTAAAAATCATTTTCAAATAAGTTTAACTAATATATCGCGTTTTAAACCGTTAAAGTGTTTTATTTAAACGTGTACCTACTCGCGTAAACTATAGACAGTATTTATATAAAATGTAATTTAATCACTAAAATTCTTACTAATATTGATTGGTTGAAGTCAGTCAAACGACTGTTACCGTTCCAGGCCATATAACTTAGTGTACCTATATTTTTACTTAAAATCAAAAAGAAGATTATCAGAGAATCAGAATGAAGGGGGAATGAAATTCGTACATTCTTTCGTTACTCGTTTCATGTAATTAGGCATTTGACTATTTTTTATTGAAATAGCGACTGTTATAAATTAATTAGCGAGACTTCAATTTGTAATAATAGCGTGCATGACTAGGTATACTGTCTATGAAAATTAAATACGACACTAAACAAAACCTATCTCCACACTTTTGGTAACATTATAGAAAAGTCGTCACATCATGTTGTCTAAAAAAAAACTATCAAATCCACAAAAAGTTGACTTGCTTTCGTACAGCAACGAAACATTGGTTCGTAGTTAAAAATAAGTTAAGTTGCTAATAACCTTTTTTTAAGGAAATTCTCTTAACCGAAAACAGTATATATTAATATAATTCACGCTTCGCCGTTTCCCAGTAAAAACTATTTTAGTTCTGTGGGAACTCCTTCGCACCGTTCCTAAACATCTCTAATCAGGATCTTCAAGAAATGAACTGAGAAAAAAATAATCGCAAAAGAATCTTAACAGTTTTGTATAATGAGGTCATGTGGGTGTCTATACCATTTACGTTACTTGATCTACCGTCACCGCTATTTAAATTCTCTTTAACAGTTAAACAGTTGCTGATTTGGTCATTTGTAACGGTTGAGCAACTAGAATCATGTCGCGCGTCACACGTCAATCTTCATTCGCGTGGGTGATTTGGGTAGCTCAAGATGTGGTGAGGACGATGGATAGTTTGTAGTTTAAATAAAACACTTTGACGGTTGAAAACGCGATATATTAGTTAAACTTATATGAAAATGATTTTTAACTTCGGCCCGACGTTTCGTTTGCTTTGCAGCAGCCGTGGTCACAAGGAAACCACGGCTATACGCGATATATAAGTTCGAATTTATAAGTATTGTTTTTTTGCGTCTCTATATGTAGAATAAATTTATTTTTGTTATACGCAACCTATTAGGACCTTATAGGACCAAGGTAGCAATAGGTATAGGGCAATAGAAGCATTTTGGTATACATATAACAACAATAAAAGGGGTCTTATATAAATATATGTATATAGTCTTCGATGTCTATCGCTAGAGAGTATAACAAAAATGGCAATAGTATAGTTGGATTTTGTCAGCAGACTTATCAAAAAAACGCGTTTGTTAACTATTTTTATCGATACCATTAATTGGTAACATATAGACACTTAAAAAACCTTTAAAGGTTGTAACTGCCTGTACTGTAATTCTTGTTTTCGTGGAATATTGCGTACACTAATCAGACTCACACTTGGTTTTTTACGAATGTATGTCTGTTTAATATCTAATCTGCACTACTTTCAGTACCTAGGTATATACCTATGTTCAAATCACTTAGTAATTTGGATTAGTAAGTTTAAAAAACAAAATTGTATAAGTTTAAAAAATAAAAAATAACACTTACTATTTCGTTCTTTATTGATAGTGTGGTAAGTGCTGTCTGTAGTTAGTTAGTACGTTAGTACACATTTAAATAAACCACTTTTAACGGTATTAAACGCCAAATTACTTAACTTATTTTGTAAAATGTGTAACTACCCACACGGAGTTTCCGAAATGTGTTTTATTTAGCGTGTGTGAATTTAGAATAGACGTCGATTTAAAAATGACATTTCCAAAGGTGTCACATCAAAAGATAGACCTTTTTCGATCTCGAGTGATCTCACCATAGATTCTAGAATACATAGATAAGCCGTGATGT